GGTCTGGAATGGCATAAAGGTTAACATACTTGGAAAAGTAATCCTGTGCCATTCCACATTATTACAAATAACTTCATTTCTGGACATTTATGGTTTGATTTCTTTGTATGTATGGATCACTTGGGTTGTTACCAACATCTGTTGAAAATTTCATGTCATTAGCACCTCTAGTAATATATTTACTGAGAAAAATGTTGATGTGTTCAATACTTATTTTACTCGTTGTATATCCAATTATTACTTTCTGTGAGTTTCATTACAATAAGATATTTTGCTAACACTACGGACAAATACACACAGACATAGGTAGAAATATTATAGCCTTGGCCAATGTCGGGCGACAACAATCCCTGACTGATTACAGCTTCAGCCATCAACCGTAAATTAAGTCGATTGAATGATGGGTATTTCAGGCATGTCAGGAACTTCCTCAAGTTTCTGTTTTTGTTTGTTCTTGTTTGTTTAACCAAGTCTTTGTTTTTTTTTTTCTTTTTGTCTGAAACCCTTTACAGCATCTCTGTAACAGTGTGTATTAAAGGGGCTGCTCTTGTTTTCCTACCAGTCTTGTTAACAGCCTCAGAGTTTTGTAAAACATGTATGAAAAAGCTGTTTTGGTGTGAACACACACACACACACACACACACACACACACAAAAAAACTTTCAAAACAATTGCTTTTGGAATTTAGTTGCAGCTTTTCAAAAAGTGCGATAAAAGCTGCTTTAGATTTTGTACATTATTCATACTGTTTGTTTTTTATTCTGGATTAAAATACCAAGTATTGCTAATGTTAAGCATGTGTTTGTATTAAGATGCCTGGCCACATCTGACTTAAATCGCCAGATTCGTTATAAACCTGTCAGTTTTTATTAACAGTATCGTTCCACTCACCCTGGCAAGATGCTTCCTTATTCTCTCTCACTCTTCTCTTCCTCTTCAGGTATTTTTGTCCTGGAAGAAACACAGCAGTTGTATCTATTAATCAAACCATTTCCAACTTACTCCCCTTCCCTCTTAGCTGGATATCAGCCATGCATTCATGCACTGCTAATTCCCCACAAGCTAAACAGGAAGTGTTTTTCCTGTTAATTGGTCAGATTCCAGCTGCGTGCAGGAGCATGCTGAGCACCGGCCGTCCGTGTGGCAACACAACAGGATGATGAGCGTGGGGGGGTGGGAAATGCAAAGGCGAACCCTCTCCACTCTGTCAGCTCCTTGTCTCACCCCATCAGCCAATCAGACGCAGCTTAGCCATGTGTATGTGTTGACTTAAATGCAGTTTATTGTTTTGTTTTTGTAGCGGAGTGTCTGGAAGGAGCTGAAAAGTTTAATGTATGTTTTTGTTGTTGAAGCTGTGAACACCAAATTTAACCACTTGAGGCATTTTTTTATACATACTTCCACACAAACTGAAGAGTTTTTCTTCAGCTAGAGAACTTTTCCTATCAAAAAATCACTTATGGGTATTTTTTTCCTTTGGCATGTTTGTGTTACTGTGTCGTCACATTTCTAAAAGACAAGGACAGCTTGAATTTTGTAATCTCAACTGGCAGAGTGCCCTTTGAGTACCTTTAAAGTCTTTTTTAATCTTCATGACCTTACTAAGGGTACAAACTAATCTCACATTAATAGCCAGGAAACATAAAGCACACACACACAAAAAAAAATACCTGGTAGATATTTTGTTTTTGGAAGAAGTTTCAGTGTCAGCAGCACTTACATTTCTTCCTGGTGGTATTTATCACTCGCCGCTAAAGGGCGAGAGCGAACAATAATGTTTTTGCCCATGTATGTGCACGCTCATTTGTGTGTCTGTAACCAAAGTATCATAATAATTTTGATTAAACTTGCGGAAAATAATTATTGATAACTATTGCTACAGCTGAACCAAACTACCAAAAACTAAAGTCATCCAGTTTTATAGATATTGAACTATATTTTAGTGTTGTAAGCTTATTCTCAACATATATTCTGAACGCTAACAAGTTGTACAAGATCTTTAAGACTCATTTGTATACAATGTTCCCTGGTTCCAGCTGTGTCACACAATCTGAAGGCAAAAAAAAACAAAAAAAAAAAAAACAAAAGAAGGAATAAACTCAAACTACAACCTGATGTACTTTTGTCATAAAACACCTGAAGGCTTATTTTGCATGACATGCTTTGACATTCAGACTAGCATGTTTACATCTACTAACCTGTTTCCACACAGGTTGTTCATTACCCTGGATTGAGGCCTTTGCTGCACACCAACTAGTTTTGTATTTCCTCTAGAGCAGTGCTGCACAAAAGCTTTATTATTTTCATGCATGCTCATTTGCATAGGCCTTACATGATAATTGATTAAGTGTGCATGTTTTGTTTGTAAATTTGAGCACACGTGTGCACTGAATATTTAACTCACAAAACGTTTGTAGCTTCTTCAAACCTACTCGTTTATCCTTGCTTGTCTCACACCCCTTCAGTCCCTTCAGCCTGCTGAGGAACGATCGGATCAACAAAAAGCAGCTTTTTGTTTTGCTCTGCGTCTTTGATGTTGTGAGACTTCTCGTTACTCGAATTGGTACGAGTCACAAGCCACGACTTGTAGCGCTGTCACAGCCGCTCGTATGCTGATTGGAGCATTGAGTGATGAGGATTTAGTTGATCGCTGGTGGCGTTCAGATTTGCACATGCAAACGCTGATTTTCACTCCCAACATGCATCTGGCTTCTTTAACTCTGAGGACGACGTGCAGATAGCACCACTATCTGTGCTGTCCAGCTGCAGCTGGAGAGCGTTATGGAAAAGTGTGGCCGATGCAATGAAAGAGAGCAGCTTGGATCGTCGGGTCACATGAAAGCATGAAAGCAAGATGACGCTGCTTTCTGTGACATCAAAGGTTTTGGCCTCAAACCCTAAGAGTTAATCACTGGCCTCAAGTGTCTAATTTTTACTATTTTTTAATGGCCAATGACTCAAGGACAAAGTTGTTTTTTCTCATTCTGGTTTCGATCAAACAGTGTAGGCATGTGTGTAGTGTGTGTGTATGCTTTGCTCATGCCCAGTTAGATCTAGTTCAAGGCTCATCTCCTAATTACAGTGCTGGCCAGAAGTAATTACAACCTTAAATTAAGAGTCATTTTTTCTTTTTTTCACAGACCCACTGAAATGCAGCAATTTGTGGTGTTTTAAGGGAATGGAACATCCTTCTTCTGCCTCTGTCGCCTGTTCACTTCACAAGAATTTGGGGGGTTTTTTAGATCTGCGCAGAGTTTCCATTTAGTCCGAACGGGTCAAAGTTATAGTTGAATGTAAAGCTTTACAGTGTCAGTTTTAAAGCTACTTATTGCAAAGGATGAAGGTTACCCTGAACTATATCAAACGGTGCAGTTAGAAAAGTTGACTTCAGTAGTTTTCCAAATAAACTGATATGAATTCTGAATGTGCTCAATGTAAACAAAGCACTCAGAATCCATAGAAAACAACACTGAAGCTTAAGTTACAGAGATAAGCTACGGCTGTTATCAGTAGACAAACATATTTCGTAGAATCAGATGGGCCTGGAATCTCAAAGAAGATGTTTAGGTGGAAATATGATTGACATTCAAACACGGGTAACTTTCGCAAGACTTCTAGTTCGCTAAGTTTACATTTTCAACCTAACATATTTTTATTTATACATGCTTAACTCAACAAATCTGAGTGTAAAAGTGTACCTATACATCATAAGTTTGGGACTTCTTGATCTGAAACAAGTGTTTCAGGCCGTTGCCATTTTTTGTCCCATTTTCGTCTGTTTTCGTAGGCAAACAAACACACCTGGTAGTTCACAAATTATATTCACAGATTTGTTGTTTAAAGACAAATAAATTACTAACAGAAGAAGCATATTGTACAGATTTAGTTTCGTACGTTATTATCTTTTGACGGTTCTTTGTGACTTTACGGTTCGTACCTTTAAACCTGCTAAATGTGACTTCAACAAGCATGTGCGTGACAGCAGTTAGTTGGGCGTTTGGGCTCGAACCGGGCCACTCCGAAGCCCTCGGTTTGGTGTGTGTGTGTGTGTGTGTGTGTGTGTGTGTGTGTGTGTGTGTG